ACAAGTAACAGTGAGAATTTTTTCTCTCAAAAATAATGGCCTGCATGACTCACGCACTCCCACCTTGCATAAGTATCTAACCGCTCGCTTTTGCAAAACAAACACTGAATGAAAAAGTTGTTGACTGCAAAATCCCCAGAAGGCAACACCATATCTTAGGTGGGACTCAATCAGGGAATGATATACCATTTTTATTGTGGACGTTAGGAATGAAGCAGTTCCTAAAATAGACCCCTTCAGGTTTTTATAAATTACATTAGTTTTCTCCAGATATTTAACGAGTCTTATGTGGAAACTTCTTCTTTTTGCTATTTCAATATATAGGATAAAATTTGATGACTCCATTAAATTTGGTACTGTACCTGTAGGAGGCAGAGGCGGCGCCCCGTTATCTGAATACTGGTTCCGGCTATCTCCTGAACCAGTCGACTGCGGACTATCAGACCTGCACTCGTTGTTCACGATCGGAGAGTACTTCCTCTGCAGCGGGGCGTGCACGTGGGGGCTGGCGCGCGGCGACTTCGAGCTGTCCACAGTGTACACCTGCCCGAGGTTCTCGTCGGAATACGGAGGCGGCGGCAGCGGCGGGTGCGCTATGCCCCTCTGCGCTTTTGCTTTGGCCTGCATCGTGCTCGCATAGCTCGGCGGTTCGGTCGTGGGAACGGTGACGGGAGCGGCGGGGTTCGACGAGGCGGTGGCGGGCAGCGGGGCGGCTGGTTTGGTGCCTCCGTTGGTGTACCTGGAAATAGGAGTATTCAGTATTGTTCCACACGGATCAAAAGTTGAACTTATGCGAGTTTGAAGAAGAAATTTTGAGATAAAAAAAATCATTACCAACAAGGAAACAAATGAATATTATTCCAACACTAAACTGTTCATTTTTGACACTTCGACACGTGAAGATGATCACTTGCTAACCAAAACACGTGTCGAGGTGTTGAAAATAACGATTTGGTGTAATATTCATTACTACCCCAAAGATTTTAAACAGTGCATCAAAGTACAACAAGGAAACGGTTTATCCTTGCATTGAATTAGTAAAATCCAACTATTTCCCAAAGGTAGTATTACAAAGTAAGATAATAAAATATACTTGAGAGAGAGAGAGAGAGACATATGTTCAGTGTCATAAAAAATACATCTTGTCGACAAACATTTTTCCTCAGGGATCAATATTGGGCCCCCTTCTCTTTATTATTTATATAAACGATTTGCCAAATATGTTCTCCTCAAATATNTTTTTTTTTTAAGGTACTTGATGAAAATCCATTTCGTACTGAAAGCAACACTTTATTGTGAGAGTTTCACTGAACAGTTGAACAGTTTTACGAGAACACAACACCTGTTTCACTATACAATAGCTTCTTCAGGCGTGTCTATACATGTATAGGCGGGTATAGACATGCCCTATTGTATAGCGATACATATGTTGCGTTTTTGTTAACCGGTTTAGTGAAAATCTTACTATAAAGTGTTGCTTGAATAAGTTTCCAAATCATATGAATTATGTAATGTAGTAAATTGATGAGTTTATGGTTTTTTCGTCAATAAATTATTTCTCTCACTGCCTGTATGTTTAAAGTAAAATGGCATGTCCCTAAATAATTTGACAATCGCCCATATGCACGCCAAAAAATTGGTAATATCAAATAAACAAAATTGTAAAGGTTACCTGAG